TGACCTCTAATTTTTTTGATCTGTGATCAATGAAATAAATTGTGACTTATAAAATTTTTGATTTGTGAAATTGAAATAATATGTGGCCTATAAATTTTTTTTTGATTTGTGATCTCGAAATAATTTGTGATTAATTAATTTGATAATATGTGATCTATAATTATGTACATGTGATCATTAATTGTATGATTGTGACATTATTATATTTAACTAATAAATATTTTTAATTAATTAACTAATACATGAGTTTTATATTTTCAGACTATACACCTAATTTGTGATTTGGCGTACAAGTTATGATCTTTTTTCCCTTTAAACAATATAGAATTAGAAGTCTGAATAAGGCTAGACCGCCCAGGTCCACGCTGGCCAAGCCCAAGAACCTTGGTTTTCAAATAGATACAAAGATACCTAGATACATACATGTTACCTGCTCTAACCGTCAAAAGGAGTTCCTTTCTTCTGAATTTCAATGTCTTGTATAGAAAATTGATTAGTTCTCAATATTGGGCTATTCTCATTGTTATTTCGCGATTATGTTCTTGATCATTGATAATGTTGGAAATATAGAGAGGAATGAAGAAGAAACAACAAAAATGAAAATGTAATCACAAGTTGAATTAATATCCAGAAATTTGAAGAAAATAAAATGGAAGGCTTGAACGCATAATCGTTGTTCTCAAACTATATTTGCCTCCTCTCGGGATTGAATGATATGCTTTAAGATCTTTGACAAATGGTTTGTAAGATATAACAAGCCTTGTAAAAGATCTAGCACCAAAGCATAAGTGCGATCCTCCAAAACTTTAAGAACACAAAGAAGAAATTGAGTATGAATATCAATCAATTGTTTGATCTTTGATTTTAGAATGAGTATTGATCACAAAATGTTATTCACATTATTTAGTTTTAGATTTATCACCTATTTATAGGCCATCACCAAGTGTGCACGAAATGGTGCCAAAATAGGTTGAAAAGCCACCACTTTTGAAGTTATAACGAAAGAAAAATGGCTCCTAATGGTCACATGAATTCACCATGCGGCCGCATGGGGTAACTGAAGGGCCCCTTTAAATCTCGATAGATGGCCATGCGGTCTGCATGGCACAAAGTTTGGGCCTCCGTTTTTTCTTTATATTTTCACCGTTTGGTTTCCACGTCGGTTTTTCTTTGGCTTCCTTCATGTTGTTTCATTCCATTTTCATTCCTTAATTGAATTTTGAACAACAATATAACAATCCCCCACTTGTTCAAAAATTTCAATAAAGGAATCTCATACTAAAATCATACTATACTCATGCATAAGGACTAGATATCTTTCGATTTGAATCTAGCCATAGTGTAATCCAAACAAAGTAAAGTCGGAATCAAAGGTAGCCGTAGCTTTGAACCAATTATTCCATGTGACAATACTGGTCCGAACACACACACGAGTACCACATGTTCTCAAGTTCCTCATATCTCGCTTAGCGCTGTTATGGCCTTATGCTCATCCTATTCAACAAACTTTTAAGAGAGAAACTCCAACTCTCACTTGAGGTGGCACCACCCCGAAATTTGGTTAGGTGAAGTTCTTCCAATATCTTTGTTACTTTTAGAGGTACTTGTGTTTAGCATCGAACTTTATTAAGAGCTTTAATGTTCAATCCTCACTTTAGTAACGATCAGCATTATTTTACTTAGGATAGGGTCATTGCAGATTTTAATAATGCTGTGACCATCCCACATATCGAATGACTTGTTTTTACCCTTTGAACCCGTGGATTACCTTTTGAGTAATGACAGGTAGGGTTGCTGCCATTGGTGAACCTTTATTTGAAAGGAGTTTCAACCCCATCCTACTCGAAGTAGATGCCATTAAATCTCTATTTAGTGGTTTAGTTAAAGGATCCGCTAAGTTCTCAATTGACTTCACATAATTTAGGAAAATTATTTCATCTTTGATTAATTTCTTTATGTAGTCATGTCTTAGACTCATATGTCTAGACTTTCCATTGTATACCTCATTGTATGCTTTCGCTAACGTGACTTGGCTATCACACATGATAGGTATTGAAGACATACTCTTCGATCCCAAAGGTATCTCATAGAGAGATCCTTAAGCCACTCAACCTCTTTTCCAGTATCCTATAGTGCAACAAATTCAAATTCCATGGTTGAGTGTGTTATGCATGTTTGTTTCTTTGATTTCCAAGAAACAACATCTTCTCCAAGAGTAAACACCCAACTCGAGGTGGATTTACTTTCACCTGTGCTAGATATCCAACTAGCATAAGTAAATCCTTCCAATACCGCCAAAAATTTATTGTAGGCTTAAGTTCTTGGTTTTCTTTAAATATCCAAGAACTCTCCCAATGGCCTTCCAATGATTATTGCTCAAATTGCTAGTAAACCTGTTGAGTTTACTTATTGCGTAGGCTATGTCCGGTCTTGTGCATTGAACTGCATACATAAGACTCTCTATAGCACTTGCATACTCCAATTGAGCAATCGCCCTTCCACTATTCTTTACAAGAGTCAGATTTAGATCGATTGGGGATACTATATTCCTTTAAGTTCAAGTGTTTGAACTTATTTATCACATTCTCAATATAATGTGATTGACTCAAATAGTAACCTCCACTAGTCTTTGTGACTTTGATACCCAAAATTGTATCCACATGTCCAAGATCTTTCATTTTGAATGTGGAAGATAGAAACCTCTTCGTTTCTTCTATGCTGTCCATGTGATTACTCATAATCAACATGTCATCAATATATAAGCATATAAATGTCACATAATTTTCACAAACTTTGAAATATAAACATTTATCTACAATATTATGCTTAAACCAGAATGATATAATTGCTAAGTCAAATTTCTCATGCCATTTCTTAGGTGCTTACTTCAATCCGTACAAGGATTTCACCAACTTGCATACCTTATGTTCATTTCTGTGTAGGACAAACCCTTCAAGTTGTTCCATATAGACCTCCTCATCGAGATCTCCATTTAGGAATTCCATCTTGATATCCATTTGATGAACATGCAAGTCATAGATTGCAGCTACAGAGAATAATATCCTGATTGATGTTATTCTAGCAACCGGTGCATAGGTATCAAAGTAGTCAATTCCTTCCTTTTACCGATATCCTTTGGCTACTAGTTTAGCCTTGAAGGTATTTAAGGATCCATCAACATTATATTTTCTTCTAAATACCCATTTACATGTATTCTATGGGTTTGGATCCCGGTGGTAGATCAACAAGCTCCCAAGTGTTATTGGACATTATCGAATTCATTTCGTCCTTAATTGCATCTTTCCAAAAGATGCTATCACGTGAAGCTATAGCTTCTTTATAAGTCTTAGGGTCATATTCCACTTGTAGAACAAAAGGAATTGTCCTTACAACATTCAACTCATTTCCCTCTACCAAGTAGAATGAGATAAGTTGAGAATCAATTTCATCCGATCCCAAAGACTTCTCAACCCGAGTTCTCTTACTTCTTCTTGGTTCCCTAGATTCATCAACGTCTTTTGAAGACGTTTCATAACGTGTTCCATTTGAGCTAGGGATATTTTCAAAAATTTCCCTCAATTCATTATCCGAAGACAATTAATCCTCAAAGAACTCCACATCGTTGGATTCGATAATCACATTGGACTCCAAATTCAACAATCTATAAGATTTGCTATTATTTGCATATCCCACAAAAGCACAGTTAATGCCTCTTGGACCCAATTTGGTCCTGTTAGAATTTGTGTTCTTGCTATAAGTAAGATATCCCCACACTTTGAAGTATCCAATGTTTGGTTTTCTTCCTTTCCATAATTCATAAGGAGAAACTTTAGTATATTTCGAAAAAATTCTATTATGTATTCTACATGCACTCAACAAAGTTTCACCCCACAAATTAAATGGCAACTTAACATGAATAAGCATGACATTTATCATTTCTACAAATGGTCTATTTTTTCTTTCAGCCAAGCCGTTTTGTTCGGGTGTCCTAGGTGTAGAACATTGATGAATAATTTCATGTTGTTCACAAAACAAATTAAATTCATTGAAGAAATATTCACCATCTCTATCACTTCTGAAGGTTTTAATTTTCTTCCCTAAATAATTTTCAACCTCATTTTTGTATACTTTAAACATATCAAAAGCTTCACTTTTATGTTTTATCAAGTAAACATACGCATATCTAGAAAAGTCATCAATGAAGGTAATAAAGTACCTATTTCCACCTCTAGTTAACATGCCATTCATTTCACATATATCGGTGTGAATAAGTTCTAAAATGTTAGAAGTCCTTTTTACACTATGGTAAGGCTTTTTGATCATTTTAGATTCGACACAAATCTTGCATTAATTTTCATTATTTTCATCATATGAGATCAATTCACAATTTTTCATGCATTTCATGGCACTTATTCCAACATGACCTAATCTAGCATGCTTTTTGATCATTTTAGATTCGACACAAATCTTGCATTAATTTTCATTATTTTCATCATATGAGATCAATTCACAATTTTTCATGCATTTCATGGCACTTATTCCAACATGACCTAATCTAGCATGCCATAATTAAAATGAATCCACAACATAAGCGAAATCAGTTTTATTTATTTCATTGTCAATAGTACATAACTTGATCATTCCTTCACAAGAATAGCCATTTCCAACAAATTTCCCATTGAGGGATAATACAGGTTTACCGGACTCAAAGATACTTTTTATACCCGATTTTTCCAAGAGATTTCCACTCACTAGGTTCCTATTCATAACCGGGACATGTAGCACATTTGTGAGAGTAACGTTTTTCCCGAAAGTGAAGATAATGTCTATATTTCCTTTTCCAATCACTTTGGATCTCACCTCGTTACCCATTTGGATCTCTTGGTCTCCATACATTTCATTATATGTTTTAAATAAAGATTTGTCATATGATACATGTACCGTGGCACAAGTATCATACCACCAGCCGGGAACCTTTCCCTCAATAGCATTTATCTCATTTACGGTGGCACAATCTTTTCTTCTTTGATGAAATTCACTTTACCTTCGAAAGTGTTGTGTTTTCGGTGTCTACAATATTTTACGTAGTGTCCAGATTTTCCATAAATATAACATCCTCCTTTGGTCTTCTTCTTGGACTTGTTAAAGTTCCTTGAAGGCTTTCTCTTGTTGGATTTTGTAGGCGGATCAGATTTCTCAATAGCATTAGCCTTGGAAGTTCCCTCCAAAGAGTTTTCACTCTTGTCATGCAATCGGGATTCTTCCTCAATCCGAAGATGTTTTTGCAATTGTTCCAAAGAATAATCTTCGGAACTATGCATAATTTTCTTCCGATATCCTTTCCAAGTCCTCGGAAGTTTAGCAATTACAACCCCCACTTGAAAAGTCTCCGAGATTTCAATCTTCACCGCTTTCAATTTATTGATAATCACTTGCAACTCATGCACTTGGGGAAGTAGGGGGATATTTTCTAAGAATTTAAAATCAAAATACTTAGAAATTAAAAACTTCTTTGTATCTTCCTCTTCCGCCTTATACTTACTTTCCAAAGCGTTGTTGACTTCCTTCGTCGAAGTTGTATTTGTATACAAATCATATGAGCGATCCGACAGCGCATTCAAGATATGACCGTTGCAAATCAATTCATCTTCTTGGCCTTTTTGTCTCTCGGCCTTGATTGCTTCGGTCTCTTCACTTGTGGGTTCCGGCAAAGGCGCTAATTCTGGATCAAGGATATAAAAAATCTTCAACGTCGTTAATAGGAATTTCAACTTGTCTTGCCACTACGTGAAGTTCATCCCGTCAAAACGATCCAATCGAACTAGATCTTGATTCATAAGTTTAATGGTTGCCATGGTTGTCTCGTTCTCCATCGCAGGATAGTATCGTTTGAGATTGTTGGAAATATATAGAGGAATGAAGAAGAGACAACAAAAATGAAAATGTAATCACAAGTTGAATTAATATCCAAAAATTTGAAGAAAATAAAATGGAAGGCTCGAACGCGTAATCGCTGTCCTCAAACTATATTTGTCTCTTCTTGGGATTGAATGAGATGCTTAAGGATCTTTGGCAAACGGTTTGTAGGATTATAATAAGCCTTGTAAAAGATCTAGCACCAAAGTATAAGTGCAATCCTCTAAAACTTTAAGAACACAAAGAAGAAATTGAGTATGAATATCAATCAATTGTTTGATCTTTGATTTTGGAATGAGTATTGATCACAAAATGTTATTCACGTTATTTGGATTTAGATTTATCACCTATTTATAGGCCATCACCAAGTGTGCACGAAATGGTGCCAAAATAGGTTGAAAAGCCACCACTTTTGAAGTTATAACGGTAGAAAAGCGGCTCTCAACGGTCACAGGAAATCACCATGCGGCCGCATGGAGTAATTGAAGGGCCCCTTTAAATCTCAGTAGATGCCGCATTGCACAAAGTTTGGGCCTCCGTTTTTTCTTTATATTTCCACCGTTTGGTTTCCACGCCGGTTTTTCTTTGGCTTCCTTCAAGTTGTTTCATTGCATTTTCATTTCTTAATTGAATTTTGAACAACAATATAACAGATAAGGTTGCAGAATTTACGGTTAGATTTATCCTCTTATGTTCTTTAATGTACCATGGAGGTTCTGATTTAGCAGCTAAATAAGCTCACTGTTATTGTATCCAGTGAAATGCATGGCTTAAGCTAATAATCTACAAAGAAACTGTGAGCATTCTCATTTTGACAATAATTTCCGTCCTCATTGTTAATACTCCATCCGTCCGAATTATATAGGTTGAGTTTCATTTTTCTCTTGTCCCAAATATGTAGGCTTATTTCCTAATTTAGAATATTTTATTTTATTCCTTTACCAATATACTATTATTAAATTTTTCCCATTTAAAATGCTAACTTCCTGAAATCATCCATACACACATTTCCTATTTCTTGGAAAAATGAAACAATTCTCATTTCTTCTTCTTCAACTTAAATCATTCAAATTATTTACTAATTTCAACAATAAATTATTACTACATATTGAAAATTAAATAAGGGTAAATTAGGAAGATTTTGACAAAAATTGATTTTCCAATGACATTAAAGAAGATTTTCTAATCCGTATGAAAAACGAAACAAGCTTATATAATTGGGACGGATGAAGTATTTTAATTTTAGGAGTCTCGCCCTTTTCCTATTTGGGCCAATTTCTGCTTGGATTTTTTTTTAAAATTTTATTTACTTTTCTTATTTTGAAGCTGCAATTCTTTGCTTAGTTGGTCAGACACAACCAATTTCATTGTGGACCTGCGAAATCCCTTTTCAGAAGTATAGAATTGAAAAAGTCAATGTATATTCCATTGTCCATAATATTAAGGAAAAAAAAAAAAACTATGGAGATAGTTTAGTTAATTAATTACTAAGAAGGCATTAGCTAGGAAAGATGAAAAAGACTACAAAGTTGGCTCGAGCACATATTTAGGTTGGGCATCAATGGAAAGAGAAACTAGAGCTCCTCACCTATGTTTTAGAATAGAATCAAAGTACGTATTATAGGTTAAAATTCACCATTACATGTTTATGGAATTCAATAAGCACTTAAAGAAATATATTTGTCTCGTGTATATTCAACTAGAGAGTCCATACGGTCTAAAATTAAATTTTGTTAAAAGGTAAATGATAAGAGCTTTAACTAGTTATTTCATTTTTATTTATTTTATTTTTTTTTGGATGATGGGGGAACTCGTAGCCACTACCTTTTGGGTGCGCACTGGATAAACTCCCGAGCTGACGCAATAGCCTGCAAATGACGCCAATTAGATAAACAGCGCTAAGCAAGTCCGGTGCGACAGGCTCGACCGAAAAAGTATTGGTAGGAGGAATCGAACTCTTGACCAAAGGTCTTTGCACTCACCTACTCCACTAACTCGGCAACTCCATGAGGGGCTTTAACTAGTTATTTCCTTATTAGAACATGTGACGGTTTTTTAATTTTTTATTTATTATTATTTTTTTTCAGTTCCCTTTGTTAAAATTAGGTTGACTGAACATATTTTCCATTATAATACTTTTTCAATATACATGGGGTTCTCATTTAAAGGAGTTTTTAATTAGTTGAGATTGTCATATTCGACATTAATTGGCTCTTAAGTTATTGGTGTTAAATTGCTATTATTGTTAGTTAGGACAAAAACAAAAGTTGGGATTTCGATATTGGACCTATTAGATTTATTGAATGAGAAAAACTTGAATTACAAGCCCCATGAAAGGAGAAATTAACACTCCATGATAGGAGGAGAAACACTCCACAAAGGGAGGAAATAAAACTCCATTAAAGGAGGAAAATCAACTCCATAGAAGGAGGAAATGAAACCTCCATGGAAGGAGGGATTGGAGAGAAACTACTACAATCCAATGAGTGAAATGCATACACAGTACCTTATTTATAGAGAAAAAGACTAGAGTAATTATCTAACTAATTGGCTAATCACCTAACTAATTAACAGCCTAACAACTACAGCTGGGGATTGAAGTTCTGTTAAGATGGAATCTGGTGTCCGTGGAATTAGCTGGAATCTGGTGGAAGCTTCTGGATTTTTGGTGCACGTGTATTCCAACACACCCCCCTCAAGATGGACTAGGAGATCCATCTTGAAGATTAAGGAGTGAAATATGAAGCATACACTGATCTTTTGCTGGTGATCTTTTGCAGCAACCAAAATCTGTTTGCATGAGTCTTCTATCAGGAGTACCCAGTAGGACTCGCAGTTTAATTCTAATCTTCTACTCAGGCTCCATTTTATCAGAATCTGCACCAACACTCAGCGTTGAAGCTGTAGGAGCCTCATCCTCAGAAGTGGCATAGGACTCCAGAATCATATGTGAACCGAATAGAAAATACTTCAATAGAAGATATCACCAGATCAAATAAGTGAACAACTAGGGGGAAACAAAATAAAGCCCGATGGATCTTCAAGTTTGCAAATAATAATGCTAGAAGGTGCAAAAGCCCCAACAGACGTTGTTGACTCTGAGAGAATTGGAGCAGGCCCGCTGGAAGGCAACCTGTACGTCCAGTATGTTATTGAAACCAATCCTTGATCTGAAGCCAAAGTTATCTCCAGACTAACTGGTGGATGAATGATGATCGGACGTGTATGCATGACAATGACAACGGATCAGTAGAAGCTAATTTTTGCTGGGAACCAACTTGAGGATGGCCAGCTCTTATTGAATGCTGAAAGGACAATCATATTCGAGTAGAATTCTGGAAAACAAAAGCAACAGGAAGCAATTTCTGCAGCAGCAAATGGAAGCAAAAAAAAATGCTCTGATACCATATTAGATTTATTGAATGAGAAAAACTTGAATTACAAGCCCCATGAAAGGAGAAATTAACACTCCATGATAGGAGGAGAAACACTCCACAAAGGGAGGAAATAAAACTCCATTAAAGGAGGAAAATCAACTCCATAGAAGGAGGAAATGAAACCTCCATGGAAGGAGGGATTGGAGAGAAACTACTACAATCCAATGAGTGAAATGCATACACAGTACCTTATTTATAGAGAAAAAGACTAGAGTAATTATCTAACTAATTGGCTAATCACCTAACTAATTAACAGCCTAACAACTACAGCTGGGGATTGAAGTTCTGTTAAGATGGAATCTGGTGTCCGTGGAATTAGCTGGAATCTGGTGGAAGCTTCTGGATTTTTGGTGCACGTGTATTCCAACAGGACCTTTAAAATCAGATATGGATTCCATGAAGACTTGAAAACAAAGTTAACCATAAATTAAGCATCTGATAAAGTTCGTTTATTTTGGACACCGTCCTATGGACAAGACGGGACAGACCATAATAAAGTATGTTTTATTGTTTTAATGATGTTGCATGGACAGACACATAAACGAAGTATAGGGCTTTGATTGATTGGAACTCTGAGAACCTTATTTTTTATTGTTCGTGCAACTAAAAAATATAATTTTCAGAAAGTAAAAAAGTTGAAGTCAATAGGTCATGCATAGTGACACATTGTCAATACCATGTTAAGAAAAATATAATATTTTTAGTACCAACTCTATTGTTTAAACCCTCAAAGAAGGCTGGCAGTTTAATCCCTTATTTTCTAATTATGCATTAGGCACTCTTCTTGATATCATAGCCACAATTTCATTATGAATATATGATAATGGTTTATCACTTTAAAGATCACCGTTTTTTATGTATAATGATATCATCAGCCATTAGACAGAACTGTTAATGATTGTATACCCGATAAATCCCTCCAATCCTGTATTGTAGGAAAAATCATAACATGCTTTGACATGAATTTGACACTTTGACATGAATTTTGGGTCAACAAACTTACTAAAAAATATGAATTTCAAGATCTTTATGTAGTTGAATCACCTTGCCTTCAAATCTCTAAAATTAGCATTTTCTTGTTCTCCAATGGTCCAAATCTCGATCACAATGGAAGGGGATTATTGTTCACAATCTAAGTGTCATTTCTTGTGAGATTTCATGCAAAAAATGTGATTCTAGGGACTTTCCAATTTTGAGGTGCATTTCCATACGAATTTTTTCGCCATTTTTTTCATATCCCCCCCCCCCCCCCCCCTCTTTTCCATAACTTCTATATGGAAGTTTCAAATGGTTACTTGGGAGTTATGGGTTTGAATTCTAAATTCAAACCACTCTCTCCAACCCTTATAAAATCTTGCGGGTCGGGTCACCCCACATGGACAACTCATTATCCGTATTTTCTAACATCTCTCACTCGCACATGATGGGGTTAATCCGAACCACAAGTGACAACAAATGTCACACTTTAGATCCTTTTTAAGATCTATCTCACAAAGATTCATACGGCAAATAGATCGTGCGACCAACGAGTAATATTAGAGCTCACGGTACTATAAACCTGTTAGGGATATATAGTAGCTCTACTAGAGGAGGAACATCACATCTCGCTATTCCCCAAACTCATTTTCCAACATTAATTCAAGTATTTTCGATCCCTCGAGTATTTGTGGAACATACTTGAACTCCGCGTCATATCATTGTATTCACAATTGAATTCTATACCCCAAATGGTTAAATACAATTGTCCGGCCGGTGAATACAAACATAAATGTTGGTCAAAATAGGTTTCCTTTCCTACTTTAATCCTTCGATTTTAAATCAACTGCTTTCCTAGACATGCCCCATCAAACTGAATCGATCATAGTCATTGGCAACATGCTAAAGTAGCAACACTGAAATAAAACCTTAAGAAACAGTCAAAAGTCATAAAGATATATATGAGGTTACATAAACCTCAGGGTCTCACACAATGAGGAAGCAAGGATCCATTCACTTATTTACCCAATATTGGTCGTAAAAGCACACACGGTATGAAACACGTGCTACGATGTTTTCTCTCTTTCTTAGGCCGTATGTCATATTCTTTGTAAACAAATAATATCGTACAGATCCTAGTTCAAGTATTCCTCGATACTTAACTTGAGTTCTCCTTATGTTCATTCCTCCAGGCATTCTCAAATCGAAAACTTGATCTAGCTACTAAACGAGTTTAATGGATAGTGAAATTCATTTCGATTACTTGTTGTAATATCATCTTGATACCTTATCAAAGTGACTGGATCATGTAAACAACATGATCACTATCAAGGCGACTGGATCATGTACACAACATGATCACTGTGTCTCATCTCAGCACATCTTAAAACGTTTGAGGCGATTGCTTGTGTGACTAAGCCAATCTCAACCCGTTCGACATACTTTATATGTGCATACAAATCATTTATCTTGTAATCCCAATATTAAATTATACATGAACTCAAAATAGTTTATCTATGGGCACACAAAACTCAATCAAGAGTTTGTCTCATACACCAAGTATCATATTCTACGAAATTCTAGAGTTTTCATATTATCAACAAATATATCTCTAGACATCTTCAGAGTATGATGATTACATATCATCATTTACGTAGATATATCGCAAAGACAATTTCTCTGCTAATGTCTCTCACATAATTACCATTAAGTGTTTGATTCTATTTTGATACTTGAGATCTTAATATATAAGATAGTTGCGTAACTATTATGGATCTCATATTCTCAACTAGTATCATTAGATGCTTAATACATCCATATCAAACAATATCTTTAGCTGGAAAGATATACATAACAACATATGCTTCTTGCTACTCAATATAGCAAAAGCGCACAAGTCAAATAACTAATTGTGCTCGACTAACTATCATTCTTAGTCAACAATTGTATATCTGTTACAATCATAAGTTATTCATTTGACAACGAAAGAGAATAACTGACAGCAGCACCCTTCAGGTATCACAATACATTTTCTAAAGATAATATTGATACCTACTGATTAGATCCATGGCATTATCATTGTTAGGAAAAGTATATATCATAGTATACTACTATCTACTAACTCTTAATCGTGCTAGATATGATTTTTTGGATATTTCTTTGTTCACTTATGAAATCCTTGGACATTTATGAAGACTTATATGGTCACAGTTGCAATTTCACATGAGCATTTATAGTATAAAACTCTTATGATAGAGCAAAAACATACGAAAAATATTCTTAACACAAATTATACAATTTGCTAAATCCATGTCTTTTGTCTCAAAAAAATGACGACAGTCATTTCAAATTGGTCTCTATACACTTCTTATTATGCTTAGCCAATCCAATGTCATCAATATCAATATTAGAATTACAACCTACCATTAGACCTTTTATACAAATACAGTAATTTTCGTCCATATGACGAAATTCTTGTACGAGATTTAACCCTGTTAAAAACTCAAGTACGACTGTCAAGATGACTGTATTTGGCCATGTGTGTAACTTTAAAGTTACTATAATACAAAAAAACTTTAACATGAAATCTAAAAGT